CTTCTGATGGAAAAGGGCCATACTTCGAAACGACGATCTCATGTGCACAGGAAAAGTCATGATTATAAGTTCTTTTTACAGAGTACTAAAACTCCCGTTAAGATTATAAGCTAATAGCAAAAACAATTTAATGGTATTTTCTGAAGAAAAAACTGAACAAAACCAGAAAACTTGAGAGAAAATGATCATCAAAGCTACACCCCCCTACCTTTACACACTTCTTGCCACCAAAGCCATTTGTGTGCGTGCATAGATAACTACTGTAGGAATTTAGTAATGAAAAGGTGCAGCAGACTGGTTAGATTACCACATCATATATACATTGTATGTTCATGATCAAGAGCTGACTTTTCACTGGTGCATTCATCATCACAAGCAAAGATCTACATGCAAGTCCGAAGTACTATCACACTGAACTGTTCCCTTTGTTTGTGAAACTGCTTTACTGCATTCATTTTATCCCATTAGAGCATTTGTATCACAATGTGTCACTTTAAACTGATTCCGTAGTTTGGATGGTTCAGGGACTAACTGGTTAATGTGAATGAAATTTGTATTCAATTCAATTTAGGTTTGATTTTTAACGATTTAAAAAAAAGAGGCTTTGTGTAGCAGCCATCCTGCAGGACAGTTCTTTTGTACCACAGAGAAACCTCTTTTTTGCATTTTCCTTTTAAAACAAAAGCACTGGCCTGCAAGATGGCAGCCATGCAAACCCTCTGTAGAACTTTTTTTTTTACTGTACTTTCTGTTAGTTGTATTTTGTAATTGTGTGGAAAGTGGAATATCTAATTGCACATCAGTTGGTTCAAAGTGATGATATTTTTAGCTTTGTGTATTACTCTAGACCCATAAAATCGATGCACTGGAAGCCAAATACTTCCAGGTGTCTAATATTTGAACATGGCAAGGGAATAAACATCTGTCTGGCTTGCTGTTGACTTGAAAACCACAGCTGTGTCTCTTGAATGCATTATCAGCAAAGTGAGTGTGCGATGTGCAAAAAATGAACAGGACTAGACAAGTCTGCCTGCCCATCTACGTCGCTTGTATATGGACTTGTTGAGCTAGGGATACGTCTAGATGCTTGTAAGTAAATTGGATATTAAAGGCTACAAAAATAATTCCTTGTAATCACAGTATAATTCCACATTATTCAAATGCATGAGACAGCATAGATACGCAAGAAATCTATTCTATATTATTATCAGAATACCATTACTATAAAGATTACCGTAATATAAGAAGGCAGGTATTTATTCAATGGAAAGAAAATGTGTGTTGTGCAAATCATGTGCTTAGTCGGTTTATAGTGTTACTTGGGAATTGCTCTTTATATTTTCAATCTGTTAGTCAGTTGAAATAAAATGTGTCTGTGATTTTCCTGTTGGAAAACTGTGGGGGGGGGTAGAAAGCTGGAATGATTTGGATTTATAGATTTGTTCGAGTTGGTGAACAGGGCCCTAGCAGTTGATGAAGTCACTTTCACTTTTCCATGGGGCTTCCTGCCAGTGGGCCACCCCTCAATGACAATGGAATATCCCAGCTTGATATTGTCATTTTCACTGGCACAGTGTACATGTACAGTATGTGTGCAGTGCAAGCTTTATCATATTCATCTTCATGGTGAAGCAAGAGAACCACAGCAGTACATAGGGTTGTACGCATTGCATAAACTGTCTAGCTCTGATCTTCAGCGCACATCATTGGAACTGGAATTCTTTTAGAATTACTCACTGGTAAGTCGCTTTTTTTTTTACTGATAGCATATTTGCCATTGTCTTGTTTGGCTTCAATTTCATTTCATAATTTAGTATATTTTGTGAAATTTTGTGCAGTCCATGCATGTACATGTAGAATCTTTCTCACCATGTTCTCACAATGAAGATTACTGCTACAGTAATATTGCACAAGAATCATCAATGATATGATTACTTAATAGCATCACATATTGCGTTTGATTACTTGCGCCTTGAGGGATGAATATTTTTACATGGTACGTACATCAAGCATGTCAAGCTTTACACGTACAGCCCAACAATACCACTAACATGTACATGTATGTAGTTGATTCATGTACATGTACACTGTACCATGTGTACACACATGGCAAAGCATGCATGTACATGTACAGACATGTACTGTGGACTGTATTTATTACATGAACATGTCAACATGAAGCCCATGATGGTAAGACTTTAAAATATTCATAATGTATCAATTTCATTTGTGTCCTTCTTTGAAATATCAGTTCTTCAAGTGTGTTTGTTTCATCTGTTAGAGTTCCTTATTTCAGCTGCTGAATACTCTATGGTACGGTATTTGCACAGGTACATGTACATGTACATTGCATATATTTAACATTCACATGTATGATGTACATGTATGCAGCAAGATATAGCTGATATGACTCAATTTTCTTGCAGGTATGTCTTTGCCGCTAGCAGTAATGAATCCTCCAATTTAATTTTTTTTCACTGTCATTTACTTGTACTTGTGGATTTTTTTATATCGTAGGAATAGCATTAAAAATCCTATTAAATATTCTTAGAACTGGCCAAAATTGCTTATAGATTTTATTTATGTATGTTGTTTAAGGTTCAGACATTTTGTTTCACACGCATGTAATTTTATAGCCATTGTACATGTACATTTAGATGTTTTCTCAGAAGCTGAACTTTACTTTGTCTTGTGGCATCATCGTCCAGTTTGACTTCCTACGGGTGAAATCAGGGGGGGAAGGGGGAGAGAGAGCAGATTTTGGGCTCCAATCGCATCAAGGATAAAATTGTCACTTGTCTTGCCTTGTAAAAAAAGATCGAAATGGGTAATGCCTCAAGGATTATTTAATTTGCATCAACAGCAGCTGTTATGTCAGCGACTCTGGGGTGTGGCCTCAATTGTATGCAGCAAGGAATCAAATTTATTCGTTTGCAGTCAAAGTGTGGGGGAACAACTACAGTAGATGCAATTGGATGTGTGCACATTCTCTCAGCAAGACAGGATAATTGGATATTTCTTTTTTAGGTACATGTCGTGATCGCTGGTGAAGTCATAAACAGTGTTTATAGATAAGACATGTACTGTTTAAATTTTAGTTGTACAACCCACCTCATTTTGATGTGGCTGTCGCTTGTTTGCATATTTATTATACAGGATACATATTCATGAGAGAGTTAAGAATGAAAGAGATTTCATCAGTCTCTTTCCTTATTTTCCTGTCATAGGATATGTAGATATATGTAAATGCAATATGTACACATACATGTAGGGGTGATTTGTACAGTTTGTAATGAAGAATAACACTTCTCCTTCACCACTCATATGATTTGTATAAACAGTCCATGAGGACATTCTCTGGACATTTACAATGTAGTTGTCAAGGAAGAATCTGTGCAGTTGTTTGAAGTTAACCAGTATAACATGTATAAGTTGTTCCACTCATCTCTTATGATGTATTAATGTAAAGTTCCGTGCATGATATTTGCATTTTAATTTATAATTCATAGATGTAAAGAAGTTTATTTTTTCAACCTTTTTATGTGAAATGTTAAAAAATTATGTAAAGATGGTTTCCCAGGAGACCACATGCAGTGGACAGATTGTCACTAGAAAAGAGAGTTTAAACATACATTGTTAATGACCATATTAGATATATTTGTATGTTTTCAGTAACTCAATATGGCTTCACATCTGTAGTAAAAATACACTTGCATGGCTGAACAAACACAACACGCTTCCTGTCTGTTAAACACAGAGAAATGAGGTTAGAAGGGCATTATAATATGTTGGCTTTTGAAACAGAATACCGTGTAGGTGGCAGGGCATGCATGTACATTGTACCCTGTACCGGTACATGCAGAAGTACCGGTACAGGCATGGTAAAACATTTGAAATAGCGCCTTGAGAAAAAACAGTCTTAAATGACTTTGCTTGTTGGTATCCACTCAAGTTGTATGAATTTCGATTGAATAGACTTATTATAATGTTTCAAGTTACATATATGCTATTTAAAATGACATTTACATGCCTGGGGACAGGTCTCTTGTCCCTTAATCAAAATACAGTACATGTACATGTATAGTACATGTACATGTACATTTGCCAAATGTTCCAAAGTTGCGTGTACATGTACATGTAGGCCCTGATTCACATGTACATGTACATTTAAAAAGCCAGTTTATTTAGTCCAGAAATCAGTAATGAGCATTTGAAAAGTACAAACGGATACATGCTTGCACAGATGAGCAAACTTTATCGCAAATACTGGCACATGTGGGCAGATGTTGACCACATCATGTTCTATATGTGTAATGTACATTAATCTGACCTCTGTTTCCTTACCGTGTTGCAGGTTTTCCTGCTGTTTTCAAATGTGTACTCAATTTGTATACATTTACAGGGAAATGTATACTGTACAATGGATGAACAGTTTAGTGCATAGGTGGGCATGTTAATATTTACATGTATCATGTTGGCATTTGATTACAGTGTACGCAAATTTACTTGATTTTCATCTTTGTTTGGACTCAAACTGAGGATGCTGTATACTTTTCCCTCATTCCTATCGCTGATGCTTTTTTTCTGTAACCTTGCAAGACATTTAAAACATCTCTCTCAACTTCATCATAAATAAGACTAGCACAGATGCCTACAGCTTGGTGCATGTAAATGTGCTTTTTATTGACTCCATGTTGTCATGGAGAAGTCTGCAAGATGTTGGCCTACCATGAATGCCATCCCAGTGAAATTCAGTTCAAAAGAGAACTGCTTTCTATTCCTGTATCCCTCTGGTTAACCTTTCCTCAGCAAGCCATTAACTTTAATGTAATGCTACAGTTAGTCGCAGGGTGGGCAACAGATTTCTGCCGTAGTTAATGAGAACCAGGAAATTTGTACTGTATGCATAGGAAGACCCCTGAGATTTACCTTCATGTATTTATGCAGTGAGTCCGGTTGGTTGGTTTTTCCATTTCCTCTCCTTTCTCCTTTGTTTGCAGACAAGGAGGGAAAAGCATTTCACCTGTCTTACAGGGACAAAGTCCAGCTGATCGCCTACGTGAAGCAGATCACTTGTGGCAAGTACGATCCCACAAATTCACCCCCAGTTGGCTATCTTGATGTCGTAGGCAACGACAGGAGGTGAGTGGAATGCCTGCTCTGCATTGTAGCCATTTTGTTTTATCATTTTCACTATGGTTTGGGGTTTTCTTTCAACTCAAATGGCTTGCACTGTGCACATTTGCGTCTTGCTGATCCTTTTTTTTTTACACTAGTCTATTTCTTGTATGGTGGTTCAGTTCAGTTTCTTGTGAACTTTTCTATGTACATGTACATGCATTTCATAATGAACCCCCAATATGCATAAATTTGTGTAAAGTGCAACCTTGGAAAATATGAAATAACCTTTGAATTGTGTGCAAGTGTGTATCTACCTGCATACAGAGTTTTATGTCTTCCCTAATTGCTCCGACATGGACACCTGCACATAACATGTGGACATGCCACATGGCCATTTTGTCAACCTCTCTTGGGTTATCACACTCAGGTTGGCTTGATGAAAATGGTGGAGTTCTGCTAGATGCACTCTATAATTCTGCTAAATCTGACCAAAAAATCTCTCAAACCACCTAAAATTAAAGGAAATACGTGTACATTATGAATGCTTTAAATCACTTGCACATGTTAAACAGAATGCCTGATCACAAGAAGAAATACAGATGGGTATTAATAACTGGGCCTAGCACTAGTGGGAATGTTTTGGTTAATAACGCTGTATTATGAAGTCTGGGCACTAGAAAACCTCAACATAGACAAACCTGCCTGTCCCATCTTGCATGGGTTTGGAAACTTCAGTTGATACATTACAACAAAACTGATAATTTGTTTGAAGACAAAACAATTCTTCAAAACATCATACATTATCTAAGAAATTTTTCTGCCAGAATCCGAAAATTTCCAGAATTCTACTAGAAATCTGCTAAAAATACTCACTCTGCTAAATTTTCTCTCAAATCCATTTTTCCCCCAAGCATCTCTCCAATCAAGCTGACTCTTCCATTTGTTAAATAGGGAATTATTGTAAAAGATGCCCCACCAAAACGAGTTACAGGTACATGTACGTTGCTGTTTTGTTCTGCTTCATTTTCGCCTGTTAAAACCTTGTATAAATTTGTTTATCTGTGCAGCACTTTCAAAGAAAAAGCCAGTGAAACAAAAACATTGTCTTCAACCTTGTGAAGTCAGCAGCTCCATGTAACATGCATTAGTTTAAACTTCCATGTACATGTACTGTAGCAGTCTTTGGTCTTACAGTCCCCAGTTCTCCAGGACTAATAATTTAGTTTCATTTTTATTTCAAGTTTAATATTTAATTTGGAATTGAAGGTTAGGGTTAGCATACATGTACTATACTCAGTCTTCACTGATATCAATTTTGTATACATTTCACATATATATGTAAATACATGCTCATCTGTGCTTTGATCAGTTTATTAGATCAGTTCTTATCTCTAAACACCTGAAGGTTTTTTAATGGTGCCTTGGCAAAGCAAGGATATATTTATTTGGCTCTTACTGAAAGTGAAATGCTACATGTACATGTATGCACTGTCGGTTTCGTGTTGTTTTTTTCTAGTCCTACCATCACATGTTCAAAATTATTGAGTTTTCAAAGGGTTTAAACACGTACTACCAGACTGCTTTATGAGGTTTTGTAATTCTGTATTATTTATGTCAACGTGCAATTTTTATGTAATTTTTCACACTGCTCTGGAGAAAGGGAATTATTTACTAAGCTTTAATGTTGAAGATGGTGAGATCACGTTTATGGTCATTTGATCAGTTAAGCTCCTGAAAGAGTTAGAATTTACATGTTCATGTATGTATTGGTCAGCATTTCTTCACATCATGCATCCATTCCAGCACTTTATATGCCAGCAGTACAAATGTACTGCAGGTTTGTGAAATACATGTAATTAGTACCAAACAGTCACGTACCAATGCTGTTTTGTCCCAACGGAGATTGTTGCTTGGTGAGAAATCTCCCCTTGCTTGTTCGTGCATGAGGCCCCATAGGTCATTAACAGTAATGAGCCAAACTAATACCTGCATGTCAAATTCTGAATGCATGTAGCGCTGCATAATGTTACTGATTTCCTTGTTTTCCTTTTTCTCCCAGGAGAAAATGGCAGGAACTTGGTGATATGACCAAAGAGACTGCCATGCTAGAGTTCTGTCTACATCTGAATGAAACCTGTACACAACTGAAACCATACATTGAAGCCCACAGGAGGGAGAAAGAAGAGCAAGAAAGAAGAAGGTAACCGTATGCTGCATCTGGGGGGTTCCTTGGGCAACTATACCCTCTTTGGATGTTCGATACTTGGATGGTATAATTATGCATATATAGGCACCCTGAATTTGTCAGGCAGTGCCATTTTTGTGTCGAATAAGACTCTGTTGGGTAAAGTAAAGTGGCAACACTGAAGTTCTGGAAAGGTTGAGGACTTGAAATGTTAAGGCTGCATGTTTTGGGAGAATGGGTTTGAATTCCAAGTCGTGTAGAAATGTTGCAGCCAGAGCGAACTCTAACTCATCAGAGTTTGTTGATGAAGTAAGTAATGATGGGATCTTGAAGTTTACGCTGTGATGAAGTTGTGTACTCAAAGCAGACTTGTTAACTTAGATTGCTAACTTGGATTCCAGTCGGAACCAAGGCACAATTTTGTTTAATCGAGACTCGACTTGAATTTTTACCTCACAAACTTTTGTAGAAATAAATGCCAACCCCCCCAAAAATGACTTTTCATTCCCCATTTTGAAACTGCCTTCTATGATTACACTGATATTTTACCTTTAGAAATGTTCGCATAATATGATGGGAAAAATGGGATTGACAAGTCAGACCTGTTGTGTAAAACATCATACATTTAGGTTGCTTCAGAAATGAATTGCGATAGAAGTGTTCAAGTGTCATGTCGATTGTTACATTGGAAAGGCTGAAAAAATGGCTTGGGAAAGATCACTTATAACTTAATTTTTTGGGGGGAAAAATGGCTTGGGATTTGACTTGGTACACAGTGATTTTAACTTGACTTGGTCACAAAAATGACTCAAAGTAAGTCACCATTTTCACTAAAGGAGTGTGCAAGATGAATTGGACAGAAAGGACGTATTGTAATTTTTGACTTGGCCGTGCCTAATATTGCTGTGTTGAAATTGGTGACAAGTTGTTTGGGCCTCATAGAGTGGCGGTGTTTATAACCCTTTTTTCTCTCTGATGGGCAGGAAAGAAGAAGAAGAAAAAAGAAGAAGACAGGAAGAGGAAGAGAGAGAGAGACAACGGCTTGAAGAGGAAGAGAGGAGAAGAGCAGAGGAGGAGTTCCAGAGACAAGAGCAGGAGAGGTAGGCTGTGATTTACCCAGGAGCAATCCAAGCTCAAGGGGCCTGAGCCATTTGAAGCAAGATACCGGACGGAGAAAACCCCCTCCCCCCTTAGTGGTGGTCCTTGTCTTACGTGAATCGCAGGAATTCTTTTCAGACATCTAGGGGATATATCAGGTAACAGTAGTCGAGAGTGTCTTAGGGTTTAGACTGGGAAGAGGGGGTACCCCTCCATTGTATATCTTGCCGGTTATAGCCTGAGCACCGCCCTGGAATCCAGGAATGTGAGGTCAAACCTGACAACTCATCAATCGGACTACCTGTCCGTGAGAACTCTGGAATTTTTTTAAGTTACCCTGGAAGCTTATAAAAAAAGAGAGAAATATCCAAGAAAGTCTTGGAATTAATGACGTAAAAAGAATTCTTGCGAAGTGAATGAGATATGTACATGTAGGATAATGACTTTCCCCAAAAATACCTCAAAATAGGTCTGAAGTGACTCATTCTAACTATCAGTCAGGACATTGGAGAGCATCAGTGGTTAACAGGCTACGAGTTTCCTATACAGTGACTTGGGAGATTTATTCATGAAAGCACAAATGACGTACATCGTAGCAACTTTATTCAGTTACATGTACTTTTATCCTCTGTATTTTCTCATTCTTGTCTGTAACAGGTTACAGTTTAAAGAGGCAATATATAAGCAGTTACTACCCCAGCTAC